CCCTAGCCTGAGAGATGGCTGGTGCTACAGGAAATGTTCCAGTATGAGCTACGCTCTCCATAAGGCCCACTAGACTGACCAAAGCATCCTGAAGTATCGGGGTATGATGAATCCCTCTAGAACATGAGCTGGCCCTACCAGAACGGTCTGGGCCGGAACCTCATCATCAAATTCCACCTGAGGCTCCGCTACTGGTGTCGCTGCTCGAGCTCTAGGCTGAGCCCTGCCCCTGTCTCGACCTCTGACACGACCTCATCATCTGCCCATTGTAGGAGCTACCGCTGGGGGCTCGAGCTGCTGATCAGCTGATGAAGCAGTACGTGTTCTCGCCATCTGCGAAAGAACAAGAGTAGTAAGTCCAATTAGCATTGAGAAATCAAATCGCACGACAGAGAAGAATAGAAGTGAAGTTATTCCTAAACTCTGTAGCCTCTGAGGATAAGCACAGACGTCTCTGCACCGATCCCTCAGACTCTACCTAGCTTGTTCGTGAATTGTGAGACCTAGGCAACCTAGTGCTCTGATACCAACTTGTCACGATCCCGATGGTAGAAAATCCAGGTCGTGACAGATAAAGTCAATGAACTTGCTATATGTGAAAATGTAAGGCACGATTTGCACATGGAAAATCAGGTGGGACAGGGGGTTTAACCAGGCACTTACTTAAGGAACACAAATCTTTATGGATACAAGCTCAAATAGATGCCGGTAAAATTCCAGATCCCAGCAGCGGTACCGGCGCTCCTAGTGGATCTGGCGGGGGTTCTAACTTTTTACAACAACAGCTTCATCCTGCTTCTGGTAGTATACTACGTCCCTATAAAAGAGAATAAAATCGTTAAAATTTAGCAAAAATGGTTGTTGTATGTGGCTTACCTTTTACTTTTCTTCTCACCCTACTTTTATGCATTATATACAAGAAACTTATAATCCTGCTTTTCAAGGTTTTTCTATGACCACAGTTAGAAATGATGTTTTATATTTCAAACTAAATATCTTCAGTATATTGGTTGTGTATTTTTTTCATTTAGATTGTAAAGTGTCTATCACATCTAATATAGGTCTTAGTCCTAATGGTTGTGATTATTTACCTGTTACATGTCACTTGGTTGATCATCACTAGAACATGCAAAAACGTATTATTGGTTATAAATTTGTTGATTCAAAACACACTGGAGCACATATTGCAACTACTGTTCTACAAATAGTTGATTTTAATGGGCTCATTGGTAAAGTTTTAACTATCACATTAGATAATGCTTCTACTAACCCAACAGCAATAAATAGTTTAAGGACTAAACTTTGTCCAATTAATCCAGCAATTTTCCATGTTAGATATGCATGCCATACTTTTAACTTGGTTGTAAAAGATGGTATTAATTTATTTTCTGAGGCTTGTAGAAAGTACAACATGCTTGCGGCTATATTGTTCGTGCTAATAAAGCGAGTAGACGTCGTGAGGTTGCACAACTATGTGCTAGTTCTAACCTTCCATATAGAAAAATTCCAAAAGATGTTTATACTAAGTGGAATTCTACTTATGAAATGCTTAAAGTTACTTATGATTATCAGGTGCCTATATAAAAGGTATTTAATATGCATAACGGTATCCCCGCTTATCAAATTGTTGATACTTATTGGGATGAGATCAAAGAGCTTACCAAATTTTTAGAAAATTTTTATTATGTTACAAAATAATTTTTTTGGTATATATTATCCTACTGTAACAAATATTATGGTATATTTTTGGAATTTCTGTTGTATTTGGTAAGTATTAAACAAATTCAACTTATGCACCGGCCATTAATGAAATAATTGTAAAATTTAAAAAGTATTTTTTTCCTTATTCCCCAAGTTTACTTAATTTATACTCTATTTAACTCATCTTTTAAATTAAGAGGTCCAAAGGCACTTGTTCGTAAATTTATGAGAATTTAGAAATTCAAGAAACTGAACAGCCATCTCTCGAAGACTGCCGAGCTAACATATATTCTTATGCTAGATCAATGTTTGATAGTTATAAATCTATGGCAACAACAGGTGGTTAAAATGCTCCTACTACTTCTAAGGCTAGAGTAGAAGTTTTATGGGAAGGTATGGAGGATATAACAGGTTTTCACTCCTCTATTGATGGTAAACATGATTCTTATCTTAATCAGGGATTGGAATGTATTAAAGGCGAAGAAGGCAACGAACAGCTTTTGGCATGGTAGAGGGAGCGCGGGAAGGCATTTCCAACACTTTCAATAATGGCCCGATATATACTAGCTATTCAAACATCATCAGTAGCATCAGAGAGTGCTTGTAGCACGGCAAGATTTTAAATCGGAGATTATAAACATTCATTAGCGGAGGACAGCCTAGATATTTCCGTCTTATTCAGAGATTGGATTAATTTAGACAGAAGAAGTCTTACTTTTGAAAAATTAACCACTAGGAAAGAAGAAGAATACAATGAGATATTTAGCACTGGGAGTGATGACGACATAGAACTCATGGAACATCAATCAACATTACCAATTCCAGAACTATGTCCGAGAGAAATCATAGATAAGTTACAACGAAGCTATATAGGAGCTTACAAATATTAGTATGATAATTTGTAATTGGCTACTAAGAGGCCTAGTTCAAACCCAACCCTTCTTAGAAGGTGGCTGCGTAGATTAGGTGCTCTTCAAAAGACTTGTATTTGTATGTGAAATTTGAAAGTTCTATTAACAAAATAAAAGGTTTTAAGCCTTGAATTTTTCTGATGAATTGTCTTACACTCTTATTTGATTACTTTATAGCTTGAAATTATATTAAATAAATTACAAGTCTATTATAATTACTAAAATATTTCGTTAAAGTCTTTTATTTTAATATTTTATAATTCTTTACTTAGTTTCTTTATAATTTATTAAGTTTTAAGTTTAGTAAATAAGTCAAAAAATTAGCCGTTGTAAACTTTAAAAACTTAGTCATTGTCAACTTTAAAAAAATAACTGTTGTTATCTATAAAAAATTAGCCGTTGCCAAATTTAAAGCTTAAATAATTCCAAAAAAATAAATTGAAAAGGCCCGCTTAGAGCCCACGAACAGTCCCGTCCCATCCTGTTTGTTAGTGGGATGGGATGGGTCTACCGGGTCGTCCTGTTTATCCCGTCCCGTTAAGGCCCGTCCCGCCACCGTCCGGTTAAATTCCGTCCCGTTGGACAGCCTTAGTACGAGCGAAATGTCATTAGTTCAAGGAACCTGTTGTCAACTCTCCATATACAGTTGGCTATCAGTTTTGACTCACTTATAACAGATCTGATTGATCCCTGAAGCTGAAAGAGTCTCCATCTATACCAACCATTTAATGTATAATCCTTTCCTCCCGTAAACAATTAGTTCACCTATTTGATAAGCAACTAGGCTCAAGAGACAGCAAAAGTCCGAACGAGAATTTCAACTAGAAAAGAAAACAAAAACTAAAAGAAAGAAAGAAGTAGAAGCATGCATCAAGGTCAACTTAACAAGAATAGAATTCATCACCTTCATTAAATTAAGGAGACTTTGGGGTTCAAGAAAGTCAACATTTATATTGTTTCACATCACAAAATTAAACCAATATTTATAAAAGCTTTATAAAGTCAATGCCCATCTTGTACAGCCGTAAACCTCATTAATTCACATTAAAGCATAGTATCGAAATCCAAATGAACTACTTTAATAAGACATCGATCTTCTCTCTTTTGTGTTCTCCGTTTCTTGCTAGTTTGTCTGCATTGAGTAGTTTTCCTTCATTTCTACCTAGAACAACCTTGAATTATTGATATTTTAATTTCCTGTCACAATCTTAAGATCATGCTCAGGCGAAAAGTCAATTATTCGTTGTTCTTCTTAATTTCATCTTAAAAGTCTGAAATTGAATATTTGGATGAAGAAACGTATATCTTCGTACCTTCACAACGGCCAAGAGTTTCAAATTCTTGGTCCAAACATCCATCATATGTCACTAAGTCACAACGTTTGTTTAAATTGAGAGATTTCGTATCTCCTTTCGGCACTTACCTCATCTCAAAATGTATGTTAGGTAGTTTTGCTAGCTTCCAGGAGGTATATGGTAGTATTAGCAATACAACTACCTCAAATCAATTGTAATCTTCTTTTGGAGATGAATAAATTGCTGAAAATTTATGAAAATAAAAAAATTATCTCCTGACGACAATACATAATTAAACCATTGAATTCAGCAAAATTTGTGTTGGCGATTAATAGTAAATTATGAATGCAAATTCATGTGTCTTTTATACAATTTTTGTCACTTAAGAATGGTTATTAAGTTATATATATCATTTTTCCTCTTTAATTTGAAAATGTTAAGGTTAAATTGTTCTGTTTGGTGTAAATGTGGATAAATATTTACCATATTTTGAAGTCCAATCCTATAAATAATTGCACAAAATAACCATAAATAGAATTGAATCTACATTTCTGAACTCATTCTCCCAACTCATGATAATCTTCAATTCTACATGCTCTCACCGCCATAGACATTTGGGCCTAACTATAAAGGTGAAAATTAAAAGAGAAATTAAGTCGTATGTACAATAGCTCAGAAAAGAAGCTAATTAAAAGAAGTACATAAAAAGAGATTTTGTACTTTTCTTGTTCAACCCAAAAGCTAGCTCAGCCTAGAGATTTGTCATATCCTCCCCATTGTGTTCCGATCGCTACTATCGTTTCATTTGGCTAATTCTTCTACCTTGCAACAATAAACAACAAACGGACTAAAATTTTGGTGGCTAACGGAGGCAGATTTACGAGGCTTGTGCTTTGATCAAGTTCAGTCGCATGCACTATATTTAGCTCGAACTATGTACATATAAAACAAATTTAAATTGTACATATATAATAAGATCAGATTCATTATGACTTACTGACCACGAACTGATTCTAGATTCGAGATTCGCTTCCAACTCACCACGAACTGATTCTTGAAGTTGCTGAGCTTGCATGTCCTTTCCTTGTTCTTGTTCGATCGTTGCTATCTTTTTTCATCGGCTAACTCGTCTACATTGCAACGATGAGCCACCAATGGAAATTGGTGCTAATAACTCCGAGCCGAGATTAGGACGAGTTCTGTAAGTTCAATCGAATTTGGTTTCGACTCGAACATACGTGAATATAATTAAAATATACACTCGTACTATATAACCGATATTCATTTTGAACTCACTGCCTTTACTCGTGAGTCGTGACTCGCCTTTGCTAGCTCATACCCCATGAGATTGGCTTCGAAGTTGCTGCGCTTGCATGGAAGGGGGACATGATGACACTCTCCAAATCTTTACTGATTTATCAAGGCTACCACTATACAAAATAAACTGCCTATCACCACTTGTAATTGGTCCATGATCTTCTTCAACAGCCAAACATTTGACAGGACCAGAATGTCCTTTCAACACTGATAAACACATATGATCACCACTTTCCCTTTTCCATACACAAATATTTGTGTCAGCTGATCCACTAAAAACTAAATTTCCTGCAGTTGCTAAGCAAAGAACTGCCAATTTATGACCTCTGAGAACTCCTCCATGTGACAAAAACTTTGCGCGTTCCCAGAAGTTGACTAGTCCATCAGATGAACCGCAGTAAAGGAAACTGGATGTAGGGTCCACAACTAATGATGTTACTGCACATTCTTGGTTTAACAACGTATGCGAGAAAAAATGTTTTGTTTTATTCCCTTGTAATTCTCTTCTCCAAATTTTTACTGTTCCATCAGCCGAGCCTGAAAACACTAGCCCGTCAAACCCTACAACCACTGAATTTACAGCATCTTCATGGGCATTTATAGATTCCAAACACTTAAAATCTAATGCTCTCCAAACCTTTATGGTTTTATCCCAAGATGCTGAATATAAAAGATTTTGGTCTTCACTCATGCTAAGAGATGAAATAGCATCAAAATGTTTGATCCACACGGCATTTCTATTTCTTCTCACTTCAACGTAATTGTTTGGATTCATTGAACTTTTTATATAAGCTTTCAAAGTTGGTAATGTTCCAATGCGCTTGTAAATGTTTGGATCGTTAGAAGATATCTTCCAGACCCGTACCTGTTTAACAAATAATTAAGCAAATAAAAATGCGCTCTCTGTAACAGTACCTGATATCAAAAAGACTTTTTACGTACTTGGATCATGAAAAAGTATCAGAGACTCGCAAGTGAGAGCGCGTGTTCAGACATAATTAAGAAAAAGTACCTTTCCATCTTGATGACCCGTGAAGATTCTTTCTCCAGAAATGATTATTGCCTTCACCAATCCACTATTTGATTTGAATCCAGCAAATTCTTTTTGATTTTTCCATACCCTAATATTTTTGCTATCTGATCCTGTATATAACAAGTCTCCAGAAGCTGCTAATGAATATATATGACCTTCTTCACGAACAAGGGACCCCATAAGACCTGTGTAAGGATAACTTTCGACGTGTGACGACCATGGAGATTTTGATAATGGAGATGTTAGGTCCATAGAAGGCATTGAATATGGAGAAGATAATGAATAATGGTCGTCCGAATTAGGTGAAGGAGAGACCATATTGTAATCAGAGCTCAATGGAGAAGGTTGATTATCGAAATTTGCAGGGCCTGCAGCTTCAGATATATTGCTCGTACGAAATTTAGTATATTCATCTTGATCATGATTTGGATCAGATTGTAACATGCTCCCAAATGTTTGTTTCCCAGGGATATTGATGTTGTCTTCTGTCACCGTATTGTGTTGTTTTCTTGAATTATTCCTCATCATGTCTTGTTCCAAAATCAATCAACAAACTCAAGGTTGATGATAATGAAACAAGAACAGAACAAATAGAAAATTAGATTCTATGTAATCCCTATTAATAGGATGGAATAAAGAAAAGAAAAGTTACGTAAGATGTTTGGAGATGAATATATATAATGTGTGTATAATGTTTGTGAATTATGCAAAAGGAGAAGAAATTAAGGTACGGTCATGAAGATTTTTGGTACAAGACTTTTGGGAGGGCAAAATTAAAGACGTAGCTCTCACGGATAGTTGACGTGCAACTTGTCAAAGAGGATTTCTTTTTTATGTTCCATCTGGTGTTCGTTATCCGCATGAGGCTCGACTAAGTCCGGAGTCGTGTCAAAAAAGTCTTACATTAAAAAGTAAAGCGCTTCTATAAAAAATAACTCTTGACCCAGAGCTTGAACCAGAAATTTCTGATTAATATGAATGTGTACTTAACATTTCGCCACTTCTCTATTTACGGAAATTTCCTTTGGCAATAGGAACGCCCGACTTTGAATTTTGATGCTTTTCTCCTTTTGCTCTTTTTTTTTCAATGGTTGATCATAGATCACTTGTTATTCAATTAATACGTATATCTTGCGTCAATATTTTCACAATTGGTTGTTTTCTGAGATTCATAGCTTGTAAATTTACATTTTATCCTGCGAGAGTACGGTAGGACAAAAAAATATGGACTTTGAGTATTTACATCAAATCACATAAATATTTTATAGTTAAGTATATAATTTGGTAATTATACAAATCCATAGTCAAATAATAATATATTTGTATCATGTATTGATTGATTTTGTGTACATATTAAATGTGAATATATAAATTCTTATGGTGGATACTATGCAGTTTTCAAAAAGGAGATTCAGAAGAAAGTTCCATTAAACAATATCCAAGAATATAGGTAAAACATAGTGATGGGTTTTCAATGTCTTACCTTTATGTTTTGATGATCTAACAAACTTACTGTCAAAGAACCAGATAGGGAACCTGACACATTTGGTACACATTGCTAATCAACGGACTCCAGCTAATGTAAACTGCTGCAACTTCAGAAGATAGAGAACCAACACAGGGACCTGATCCCTTGTGTTTCCCTGACAGGAGTACGAAAGTCAACTGTGTACAGTTGGAAAGTGACTGCCACAGAAACAGTGCAGTACAGTTCTGCAGTCACTTATCCCTTGACCAACCAAGTGATTACATCATTCAAGTGATGTCATCCAAGTTGTGCATTACAACAAAACATCACTTGAACATTTTGAGAATTCACTTCAAGCATTCAAGTTATCTGATATGCGAGCATTCAATTCTCAAGTGCATCAAGAACAAAGTTTAACACTACTACGGACCAGTTCCTAAATCTAGTATCTTATTGTCCTTAGTTGAGTTGTAACTTTGTAATTGTTCTTCATTGTAACTCCTAATTTGCTTAGCTAGAAGCGTTGCTTAGGAACCCCTTTGTAAAACCATAAACCCTTAGTGCTTGTGTTGTGACTAGAGTTAGTTATGAGTTGAAGTCTTTGTAATAGGTGTATTGCAAAGTGGCTTGTAATAGGTGTATTACAAGTTAGTGAGGGATTAAGAGTTTAATTCCTAGATTGCATAGGTTGTAATCTAAAAGTTGCTCATAGTGAAGTTGAAATCCTACCTGTGTAGGTCGTGGTTTTTTATCCCCTTGAGCAGGGATTTTTCCACATAAATCTCCCTGTCTTATTTACTTACTGTTTCATTAGCATTCTCAGTGGAAACTCATAGAGGACCTGGTAATCTATAGTTTGGTGGACTCATATAAACTATCAATTGGTATCAGAGCGGATTCTTCCTATTAGGCTAACACCTAGGAAGGATCTTTATGGCTGCTCTACCAAATTTTGAAGAAGGTCAGTCTACGTATAGACCACCCAGGTTCAATGGGCAATACTATGGGTGGTGGAAGACAAGAATGCATGACTTTATCATAGCAGAAGATTCTGAGTTGTGGGATGTTATATGTGATGGTCCTTATGTCCCAACGAAGAAGGTCGGAGATCCTCCGGAGACGATACCAAAGACCAGAAAGGAATACAATGATGCAGATAGAAAAGCTGTGGAGAAAAAATTTTGTGCCAAGAAAATTTTAGTGTGTGGTATAGGTGTCGACGCCCCCTTTTTCTCGCGAAATTGGGTTTACGACATTTGGGCAGACAACTCTATTCCCTTTTGATATTTGGGTTTTTGGATTTGAAGAGTCGCCACCTAATGATTAAGTGTATTAGGAAACTAAGAGTTTTTGAGTTGGAAAACTAGAGTTCGGGTAAGGGCTAGAAATTATCTCGAGGGGAAGGTGTTAGGCACCCCTCAAGATCCACTAGTCTGGTTCCCGACCATGTCATATTGTGACTTTAAATGCAAACAACAAGTAGGCAAACAAATACAAAGGGGTTTTCACATAACAGTTGCAAGAGATTAAAGAAACTGAATTTTGATAGAGGAAGCAATTTTGAAATCTTGAATAAAGGAAGAAATTTTCATATAGTTGTTGCAAGCAGTTTAAAAGCTGAAGTTTTGGCGAAAAAGTAGTTGAAATTCTAAAAATAAAGTGGACAAATGAGGGAAGCGGGTCCTAGGTTTATACATATATGGATCACTCCACACAACACCCGGTAACCGTTTATACACGTGGTGTTATCGCATGGTCATCGTATCCATATCTACCCGTTCCCACCCCGTTAAGGTATTAAACGCGGAATGGTCTCGTTTTACCTATTGCATGTTATTACCCGCCCCCATCATATCAGTCCCGAAGGCACTTAGGACCACTAATCCTAAAGGGTAGGATGTTAGGCTGATTGGTTTCAAAGGATAAAAATCTAAGGCGACATACAAAACATATACTGCATGTTGGGGAAGCATGTAGACATATAAAGGCTCATATATACCTCCTCAAACAAAACGCATAAATAGCATGACTGAAACACAATTAAGGTCTCAAAAGATAGGAGCAGTTAAAAACTTGGTTTTGAAAACGAAGTACTAGCAATAATAGCACGATTCTAGGCAGAGATGAGTAACCTAGTAAATAAAATCAGAAGCTCAATAAAAGTAAGTAGGTGCATCATTTCAAAATCGTTTTCAGCAGAGTTTTGTATAAGAAAAAGCTGAGTGAACTTCAGAAAATCAAAACAAGAATGGCAGAGTTAAAACTTAAAGAAGTTGGTTGGTTTTAGGCTAATAGAAACACAATTGATCAGTTCTTATCGGGCCTGAAGTTTGCCTAGGCGTCGTTACACATTGTCTGGTTATTTAGAGAATGAACACACATATTTTGATTCTGATTTATAAAGGTACGCGTGATAAGACATTTGCAAAAAACGTTTCAAACCACTTAGCCATATTTTAACAAAGTTATTAGCTAAACATGAATTATCTACTGCAACTCGAATGAGTGAGAAGTCCTATGGGCAGGATATCTAATGCATAGAAGAGTCCCTAAAAAAACATGATTTCTAATATGCCAATGCAGTAATGACGAGTTATTTGGCTTGTTGTTAGTTATTTGCTGATTATTAACTGATCGTGGTTACAAGATGAGCGTAATGACAGGCTGAAAGTAAAGAACCTAAAGCAGGATCTCTAATGAATGAGATGCATGTCCTATGCAAGTTGTCTATTGCGCAAATAAATAAAATCCTATAAGCATGTTTTCTACCCATTATTTATACTAAGCATGCATAACCCTCCCCCATATTCACTATTCAACCCCAATCGTTTGTTTACAAATTATTACAAACCAGTATCATCTGAATTACAGTAAACAAGAACAAAAATAAGAAGTTACTCTATAGGGAGCCTTCAATCAGGCCCAGTCTTCCAACCTCAACCCATTCGAGTTCACAACCTTTGCCATGGTCTAGGTGCGACAAAGCTCCCTAGGGCCCCATTGGGTCCCTGGCCAATACCAGCACCTAGACATTTAAAAGAAAATGCAGGACATGTGCAGTGTGGAATACCAACCTTGTGTGTCAAAGTTCAGTGAGCACTCAGAGGTACTCAAAGCAATGCTCACACGAAGGGGGCAGAACCTATTCTCTAAGAGTAGTGTGAAGTGCAGGAAGAGAATTTTTCAAAAAAAAAAGGGGGGGGGGGTTGTTTTAAAAGAAAACAACAGGGACAATAGTTTAATAGCATAAGATTGCATGCAATAATCATGGGAGAAAGGGAGCAAACAGATCACAATATTAATGATGACTACACAGAATCAGAAGATTCAGGGGACCAAGGATTGGTCAGGCTTAAACATAAGCCTTAGACAACAACAGGGGAACAATCATGACATGCAAACCAAGAAAGACATACAGAGTGCCAAGGATCAGGGGAACTGGGAAGTGGTAAATTTAGGCATGCTAATGTATGGCAATAGGACATAGGCATAGCAAAGAATAGACAAAGTCAGACTTAGCATGTAAATCAGAAGACATGGTGAAGTATTTAAAGCAAAGAATCAATTACACATTGAACAGGAGAAGCATAAGTAGAAGAAAATCACAAAGATAATGAACTGAAGCAAAAATAAACACATTGGTGTGAGACTTGAAAATTAATTAGGACATACCAGTAAAAGAGCAAAAGCAGGATGCAAGGACTAAGTAGTAACACTATATTAGCCTTGGCTTTCAGCCGGCTAATAATAAACAGGAGCAGAGAATAGCAATAGAGCCAAAGAGCAAGAGAGAATGCAGATTTTTAAAGTGTTCAGTGTGTTTAAGTCAAGAAGACTTGTCGTGTATTTATAGTTGAAAGTAGGTGGTAAAATAAGGTAAAAATCACAGAAAACTATTAATTGAAGAACCCGGAATCAATTAATTAAAGAATAAAGGAAGTACTCTCATTAATTGAGGGAATCAAAATCAAACGAAAAGATTCAGCACCATATAAGGCAAGTAGAAAAAATCAGGGTAGGGTTAAATAAGGAATGAGTCAAGGTTCAGTATGCATATAGTAACCAATTAAGACCAAGTTCAGGAAAATTTCAATTAAGGAAAGGCTTAAAAAAACAGAGTACTATAACAAATAAGGTAACAAAAAATTAATTAATTCAAACGGGCGAGTAGAATGCTAGGGTTTAAAAGAAAATTTTAAATATACCAATCAATCGAGGAAAATCAGAATCAATCATGTGAAGTCATGATTCT